ATTATTATTATTATTATTATTATTATTATTATTATTTGTGGGCAGGACATAACTACCAGGGTCATGGCCGAAGAGTTGAAACCAGATCAGACAACAATTTCGAAAGTAATGACAAGAAACCCAATTTTTGTGAACTCAGATTCATTGGCTATAGATGCTTTGCAAAAGATGGTCCGAGGTTAGTTTTCCCATGCCTTGTTTTCTTACAGCGTATAATGTATGCCTAGTAAGCTCTTCACTAGTTCTCTTTAGGTTTTGGTTTGGAAGAAGTATCATGAATGCCCATTGGTTATTACTATTCGACCCTTTTCACACATTTACGTATAGATTTGCTACTAATATATGAAAGGTATCTGTTTTGATAGGGAAATTCCGGCATCTCCCTGTGGTTGAGAACGGTGAAGTTATAGGTGTGTTAGATATTACAAAGTGTCTGTATGATACCATATCAAGAATGGAGAAGGCTGCAGAGCAAGGAAGTGCAATTGCAGCTGCAGTCGAAGGCATCCAATGTCAACTTGGAAACAATTTCTCTGGTTAGTTAAAATTAACATGCTTCATTTTTTTGTAAATATTATTTTTTAGAAAGATCAGTCAGTGTGCATACAGTTGACAAGAAGAAAAGGGTCTCATTACCTCTTGCAAGTTGTTCATTCTCTTGAAAGGTTGAATTGTGGAATGAGCTGTAACTATTTGTTAGGAATATTTTTGTTGTGGGTGAAGAGAAAATTTAGTACTTTTTACCACGGCTGTTATCAGTTTCATGTATAGCAATTCGATACATGTCACTTTGTAATTATGTAAAGCTCATGTTACATATGAAAGTACTGAAATCAGTATAGCATAAAAATCATAGAAATTTGGAGTTTTGTTGAGAGGGCTTATTTTAGAGGGCTTTTTTTTTTTCCCCCTATGATCACTATTGTATGACTGCCTTCTGTAACATGAGCGCTTCATAAGTCTATTCTCGGACTCGTCTAATATTTGTCTATAATACTGTTTACTATGTCTAGTCTTGATTAAACTTACTTGTTTCTTTTCCTCTGTATTTTCAGCACCATTGGCTTTTATAGAAACACTTAGGGAGCGCATGGTCAAGCCTTCACTGTCCACTATCATTTCAGTAACTTCTAAGTAAACTGTTTTTTCTGGGGACTCTTTCTCTCTTGGCCTTTTTTTTCTGTTACTAAACCTTTAATATTCTGACGTCATCAGGGTTGCAACTGTATTGCCTTCAGATCCTGTTTATGTTGCTGCTAGAAGAATGCGTGAATTACAGGTCAATTCGGTTCTTGTTATGCTCGGAAGCAACATCCAGGGGATACTCACGTATAACCCTTCAGACTACTAAGATTTTCTTCATAACACTATTATGATAGTTTTTTTATTTTTTTTTATTTGTTGAACTATTCACAGATCAAGTAGATTATGATTGTATTGTTGGAATTTTATTTCAGCTCAAAAGATATACTAATGCGGGTTGTAGCACAAAACCTATCTCCTGAGTTGACATCCATCGAAAAGGTTCTAAAGCTCTTCTGTTTTAGTGGTTTCAGTTTGCAGATCATTCAATTTAATCTAATTTTTATTTTGAGCTATCATGAAGTTTGTGAATAAACTACTCATAGGCACACTTGAATTTTAATTTCATGCATAGGAAATCAAACCAATCTTGTTAGACGTTTGTTGACCTTTCTTTTTTTTGTCTTTTCACCAGGTTATGACTCCCAGCCCTGAATGTGCAACCCTAGAGACAACTATTCTGGAAGCATTGCACATAATGCGTGATGGGAATTTTTTGCATCTTCCAGTTGTAGACAAAGGTGAGTAATGAATGTTTTTGCATTTTATTTTACCATTCTAAAAAACTTTTTGACATTATCTTTTTGGCAGATGGAGGTGTGGCTGCCTGCCTTGATGTTTTGCAAATAACTCATGCTGCAATTTCTATGGTACATTTATTTTCTTTTGATTGCCATTGATTAAGTGCTTTAGTGCTTTCCCCATGATCTGTTTATTTTAATTGCAAGATTCTTTTAATATCTGTTACTCTGTGAATCTATATATAAAATGTCTCCTTAAATTTATGGCTGATGATCGATAGACAGAGTTATTACTATCAAACTACATGCATATCTGACATGGAATGTCATTTTTCAAAACAAGTTAAACCTGCTTAACATAATTAACGAAACTTTGTGGCACTCTACTCCAAACAGTTATCATTTTTGCACATTATGGAATGGAGAAAAATACTTATACAAAAATAAATCAAACATAGCATGTGTTTTTTCGCATTTGCTATAACTTTTTTCATTAGCAAGTTGTTGAGAAATCATAAAATTGAATTATATGTATGTTTTCCATTGTTGGTCATCATAAAAATTCTAATCGCAATTCATTATGTTATTTTACTGAATGGCCATAGTCATTTGACTTCTCTTCATCAAAGTGAAAAGTTTGAACATCGAATGTATATTCTCTATTTGTTCTTTCTCAAGGTTGAGAGTAGCTCTGGCACTGTGAACGACGTTGCAAATACAGTGATGCAAAATTTCTGTGATTCAGCTCTTAATTTGGAAGCCTCCGATGATTATGACACTCGCAGGTCTCTCTTTCATGGGCTTCTGTTGCTAATCATCTTTAAAATTAGAATGAGAGTCCGCTAATCGTGCTTCTTCTTTTTATACAGTGAGATGTCTATGTCTCAGAATGTCCCTTCAGATGATACCGAGCATGCAAAATCTGCTTACCCAACTCTTGGCCTTGAGAACTCGTTTTCTTTTAAATTCAAGGACAAAGTAGGACATGTCCACCGATTTAATTTTGGTTAGTGTGAATAGCTTTTATTTACGGCGTAAAAAAATCCAGCCTACTGTTTTTATTTGTTCTAATTCTCTCTTTTTTTTTTTTTTACTATTTTACTTTTATCTATCAGGCACTGAAAGTCTAGCTGAACTCGTCTCTGCTGTTATGCATCGGGTGGGTGCAGACAGTGATCAAAATCCCCCTCAGCTTTTGGTGGGTTTATTTAATAAATAAACAAATATATAACATTTTATTTGTTATTTTTATATTTTCTGACGAGGCTGAGGCTGGTTGATGTATTTTGTGATAGTATGAAGATGATGAAGGTGATAAAGTACTGCTCACGACAGATGAAGACCTTATTGGTGCCGTAATTCATGCAAGATCCGAGGGGCAAAAGGTGAGAATAATCTCAGATAAATATCTCAGATAAATTTAATTGAACAATGTGTTGTGTTGTTATTACCAGGTTTTGAGGTTACATTTGGAGTATCGCTCTTCAAAACAAGAGACAGAGCAGATATTGTCTGAAAAGACGGAGAGTGGTGAGTCGTCATCTACACGTTACGGCATATTTGCTCGTGCACTTCTTCTCACAGGCATTGGTGTGTTAGTCTGCTTGAAGCGCACAAAAACTTGATGATGGCTTGTTTATATACTTCATTTTTTCTCAGATTTGAAATCACATTTTTGGGATAATTCACTAGTAAGTAGGAAGGATCTCGGATGACCTCAATTTTTTTTTTTACTTGTTTTGTTTTATTTTATTTTATTTTTTAAATTCTCGCTTTGCTACTTGTGACATGTTAGGGAAGAAGCATTGCACTGTATAGTGAATATTACTTCAATTTCTTATTGCAGTTGTGTGTAGTGAGTCCATATGATTAACAGAGTCTCAACAGATTACTTTTTCTGAATAATTTTTTTTTTTTTTTTTCCCAGNTGAATCTGCTACCAGTCTTATTGCACTGTATAGTGAATATATCTTCAGTTTTTATTTTTTATTTTTATTTTCGGTTGCTACTTGTGACATGTTAGGGAAGAAGAATTGCACTGTATAGTGAATATATCTTCAATTTAGTATTTTTTTCTGAATGCCCAGTTTTATTGAATCTGCTCCAAGCAACACATTTAGCCGTTAGTTTTGAAAATCTAAATATTGAAAATGGCGAAAAGGCCGTTTGCACAAGTATTTTTAAACATATGGTTAGCCTGCGACTTTATTAAGTTGTTATATTCCTATTAGTAGTCATCTCTCGCATTTATCGCATGATTCTTACAATCTTATCATGCCAGCAGTAACAATCAACACTGATCATGCATGAAACAATGTGTGTCCATTTCCCAAGAGAGAGTGTCAGTTTTTCTTATTAACTCCTCTGTCCACAATAACAGAGATGGGGGATTTTAAAAAATAAATTCACCCACTACTTGAACTAGATTTTTATTTTTTTTTGAGATATAAATCACTATATTTATGAGATATATTGTGATAATAGTATAAGTTTTATAATTTTGAAAGTTTGTGAACTGATTGGCTATTATTACTATTACTATTATTATTATTATTATTATTATTTAGTTATTTATTTGATTTTAAGTGGTTATGATTATGGCATTATAGTTAATTAGCTAATTTAAAAATAAAAAACAATCCACTTTAATGAGTTGTAAAAAATAATATTAATATTAAAATAAATAGCTCGAACACAAAATTTTACAATAAAAATTATTGATAAGTCAGTATCCTCATATTTATAATTAGTTGGTATTATTATATAATAGAATGGTTAAAAATATTATTTACACTTCAGTTGATATAAAATGTAGCGGTTAGCTTTTAAAGTTACATTTCAAGATCGATTAATGTAAAAAAAAATAAAAATAATTAATAGGTAAAACCAACGGAAAAATAAGGAAAAACAAAATGTATTGCAATAAAAACTTTGTCTACATTTCAGAATTGATTAAAATGTGAAAAAAACAATTAACATGTAAAATTACGAAATGTATTAAAAATTTTGCCTACAATTTTATAAGTTAACATAATTCCTAGGGCTTGTAATTGAATCTATGGAGTTTGAAATTTGGCTCAAATTTCAAAGGAAAGATACATGCATCTCTTCAACTCTAGCAAATTTAAAACCTCGAAAGAAAAAAAGAAGTGAAAAGAGAGAATTGAAAACCATGTCA